TGCTCTTGCTGTATTATACCCTTCTCATTTGACATGTAGGTCTGCAATTCTTCCACTATGAGTAGAATATTTTCTCTGCCTGGTTCATGTGGAGCTTGGCCATGTGTCTTGGTCAATGGATCATTTAAGGACGTGAAGAGAGGAGTGGCCTTAAATGTGCTTGTGTGAATTGGCTTGGATCCCCTGCTCTGGGAAGCAGTTGGTGCAAGGAGGATGAGACATTTGAAGCAGACCTGGGCCTAAAGCACAGCCATGCCCAGTTGACCTGCAGCTGAAGCAGAGCCACTAGACTGAGCCTAGATCAGCCCACCTGTCAATCTGCAGATCCATGAGCATGAGAATAAATGCACAGTATTGTTCTCTACTGAATTCAGGGTGATTTGTTATGCAGCAATATTGCAACAATAGCTGACAAATACACATTAGGAACGTACTTCTCATTCAGATTTTGCACATACAATGTAAGAATAAACAGTTTGCCGGGCGCAGTGGCTCAAGCCTGTAATCCCAGCACTTTGGGAGGCCGAGGCGGGTGGATCACAAGGTCAAGAGATCGAGACCATCCTGGTCAACATGGTGAAACCCCGTCTCTACTAAAAATACAAAACATTAGCTGGGCATGGTGGCGCGTGCCTGTAATCCCAGCTACTCAGGAGGTTGAGGCAGGAGAATTGCCTGAACCCAGGAGGCGGAGGTTGCGGTGAGCCGAGATCAAGCCATTGCACTCCAGCCTGGGTAACAAGAGTGAAACTCCGTCTCAAAAAAAAAAAAAAAAAAAAAGAATAAACAGTTTATATTTGTATGGCTTTTCTTTCCAAATGAGTTCTTTAAAAATGTATAGTTTTTGATCTTGCTCATTTTTACTTCAGTGTTGATTTAATCTTGCCAAGAATCTATTTCTTTTTTTTTTTTTTTTTTTGAGACAGAGTTTCGCCCTGTCGCCCAGGCTGGAAAGGCTAATATCTGAATACAGTAACTGAAGGCACTATGTAGAAATGTGGGAGGGCATCACTGTGGGCACAGGCAGCAAGTGCACACATATCATGAGATCAGAGCAAGGAACAGCCAAGGGTTGGTGTGGAAGTTGTATTCAAATTGCCTCTACCTCCTCAGTGAAATGTGAAGGAAAATTATAGGCTGCGGATAAGGAAGGAGGAAGGACTGGAGGTTTGAGAAAGATGTCATAAAGGACTCACTTATGACCCTGCAAGTTGAACAATTATAAATTTTCTAGAACAGTTTTTAAAAAGATAAATCCGGCCGGGTGTGGTGGCTCAGGCCTCTAATCCCAGCACTTTGGAAGGCCAAGGCGGGTGGGTCACCTGAAGTTAGGAGTTCAAGACGAATCTGGCCAACATGGTGAAACCCCATCTCTACTAAAAATACAAAAATTATCCAGGCATGATGGCGCATGCCTGTAGTCTCAGCTACTTGGGAGACTGAGGCAGAAGAATCACTTGAACCAGGGGGACAGAGGTTGCAGTGAGTTGAGATTGCACCACTGCACTCCAGCCAGGGCGACAGAGTGGAAAAAATAAATAAATAAAAAAGAGAAATTCCTGACATTGGTTTTTGCTGAAAAAGAAAAAAAAAGCCAAAAAAAAAAGTATGAAAATTATAAATTTGTTGGCCGGGTGCGGTGGCTCACACCTGTAATCCCAGCACTTTGGGAGGCCGAGGTGGGTGGATCACGAGGTCAAGAGATCGAGACCATCCTGGTCAGCATGGTGAAACCCCGTCTCTACGAAAAATACAAAACATTAGCTGGGCATGGTGGTGCGTGCCTGTAATCCCAGCTACTCAGGAGGCTGAGGCAGGAGAATTGCCTGAACCCAGAGGCGGAGGTTGCGGTGAGCCGAGATCATGCCATTGCACTCCAGCCTGGGTAACAAGAGCAAAACTCCGTCTCAAAAAAAAAAAAAAAAAGAAAATTATAAATTTGTGTAGTAAAAAATTATATTAAAAAAAAAAAAAGAGAAAGAGAGAAATCCCAGAATGAACTGCAGAAATGTGATCTTGGCCAGGTGCAGTGGCTCACACCTGTAATCCCAGCACTATGGGAGGCCAAAGTGGGAGAATCGCTTGAAGCTAGGAGTTAGAAACCAGCCTGGGCAATGTAACAAGATCTTGCTTCTACAAAAAAATAAAAAGTTAGCTTGGTGTCATGGCACTGTGGTTTCAGTTGCTCAGGAGGCTGAGGCAGAAGGATGGCTTGAGCTCAGGAGTTCTGAGGTTGCAATGAGTCGTGATCATGCCACTGCAGTCTAGCCTGGGTGACAGAGTGTGATAGTCTTAACGGGGGAAAAAAAAGGTCAAATGCAGTGGCTCATGCCTGTAATCCCAGTACTTTGGAAGGCCAAAGCAGGAGGATCACTTGAGACTAGCCTGGGCAATATAGTGAGACCCTGTCTCTTTCAAAAAATAATTAGCTGGGCTTGGTGGCAGGTGACTGTAGTCCCTGCTTACTTGGGAGGCAAAGGTAGGAGGATCTCGAGTTAGGAATTTCAAGGCTACAGTGAGCTGAGATGTGATCGTGCCACTGCACTCAGGCTGAATGAGAGTGAGACTGTTTCAGGAAAAAAAAAAAAACCAAAAAGAAAAAGGAATGTGTTTTCCATTGCTGGAAGAGAGCAGGACACCAAAGAGAGGATTCTTGGAAGTTTTTCTTTTTTTTTTTTTTGAGACAGGGTCTTGCTCTGTCACCCAGACTGGAGTGCAGTAGCACGATCTTTTCTCACTGCAACCTCTGCCTCCCAGGTTCCAGTGATTCTCCTGCCTCAGCTTCCCGAGTAGCTGGGATCACAGGCATGCACCACCACGCCTGGCTAATTTTTGTATATATATATATTTTTTGAGATGGAGTTTTGATTTTCTTGCCCAGGCTGGAGTGCAATGGCATGATCTCAGCTCACTGCAACCTCTGCCTCCTGGGTTCAAGCGATTCTCCTGCCTCAGCCTCCAACATAGCTGGGATTACAGGCATGCACCACCATGCCCGGCTATTTTTAGTAGAGATGGGGTTTCTCCATCTTGGTCAGGCTGGCCTCAAACTCCGAAACTCAGGTGATCCACCCACCTTTGTCCCCCAAAGTGCTGTGATTACAGGGGTGTGCCACCGCAGCAGGCTAATTTTTGTATTTTTTATTTTTAATAAAGATGGGGTTTCACCATGTTGGCCAAGCTGGTCTTCAACTCCTGACCTCAAGTGATCCGCCCGCCTTGGCCTCCCAAAGTGTTGGGATTACAGGCATGAGTCACAGTGCTCAGCCTTAAATCAGTTTTGACCCGTCCTCAGAGGCCCTAACAAGATTCTGTCAGGAGAAGTTAAAGAGATTATACTGCCTTAACTGATAATTAGCAATTCTTTTCTCAAGAAAAGGTGTAGGAGTACCCTTCTCCAGATAACCATGAAACCTAACAAACAGCACAGCAGTCAGGCAGTTATGTTCCCCAAATAGGAAAAGACTACGTGGACAGAATTCCTTCTTGAAGTTCTAAGGGCAAGAAGGGAAACTGGGCACTACTTTTGCTCTGGACAGAGGAAGAATGTTCTCAGGAATTATGCGTCTTTCTGGAGTATATCAGAGTGGTGTTAGGTGTTTTCAGTCATTATTTCACCAGTTTCCATTGCTAAATAAATAAGCAGAAGGCACATAGCCTAACCTCATGAACAGCTTGGAAGGACAGGTGATAAGTAGTGAGATTTTTTAAAAAGTAGATGAGGGGAGGCCAGAGAAGAGACAAGGGCACGAGAATCGGATAGCCATGCCTTTCTTGGACACGCAGAAAAGGTTCGGCATTAACCTAGATCAGTAGTGGACAATCCGAAGTGCTGAACAGCCCTACAAGTTTCCTGCTCGATGCCATGCTTTTGAAAAATGGAGAGAACGTGAACATGGAATCGGTACTATCTGGGCAGAGAAAGAGTGCAAGATAGAATATGATTTCATTGAGTGTATACTTCAGAAAAAAAACGATTAAATGTATGGATACCATCTGGAGGCAACGGGAAAAACTGATGAAGGAAGGGAAGTGCACCCCTCCACCTCACCACATGGGCAAGGGGGAGCCTCGGCCCTGAGCAGACACAGCTACTGATATCTGGAGGCCGATTTTCATGTTCTCTGTTCTCCACTGGAAAGGTTGTTTATGGAAACAACCTGGGTGTTCTGCCCACGAGGTTTATGGAAAACCTCCTTGTCAAAGTGTGTAAAAATAAAGTATTGCTCCATCCTAAAAAAAAAAAAAAAAAAGTAAATGAGGCTGGACGCAGTAGCTCATGCCTGCTATCCCAGTACTTTGGGAGGTCGAGGTGGCTGGATCACCTGAGGTCAGGCATTTGAGACCAGCCTGACCAACATGGTGAAACTTTGTCTCTTCTTAAAAAAATTACAAAAATTCGCTGGGCTTGGTGGTGGGTGCCTGTAATCCCAGCTACTGGAGAGGTTGGGGCAGGAGAATCACTTGAACCTAGGAGGTGAAGGTTGCAGTGAGCTGAGATTGCGTGCTACTGCACTCCAGCCTTGGTGACAAAGTGAAACTCTGCCAAAACAAACAAACAAAAAAAGTCAGGATACTCCTCAGAAAATGGTGACCACTTTGGAAGGAGTGATGCTTGCTGTGATATATCTTTGGAATGTCTATTTTTTTTTTTTTTTTTTTTGAGACAGTCTTGCTGTTGCCCAGGCTGGAGTGCAGTGGTGTGATCTCAGCTCACTGCAATCTCCACCTCCTGGGTTCAAGCAATTCTCCTGCCTCAGCTTCCTTAGTAGCTGAGACTACAGGCGCGTGCCACCACGCCCAGATAATTTTTTGTATTTTTAGTAGAGATGAGGTTTCACCGTGTTAGCCAGGATGGTCTCGATCTGGTGACCTCATGTTCTGCCCACCTCGGCCTCCCAAAGTGCTGTGATTACAGGTGTGAGCCACCGTGTCTGGTGGAATGTCTATTTTAACTTACCACCAAGCCACAAGAACAAAGTAAGAAGCCTTGAGAGTAATTTGAAAGGTTTTCAAAAAAATTTATTTTCATAAATTAACACACATAACAATGGAAATTTTAGAGTCACAAACTACCAAACAGAAAAGAAACTGCAGGGGCATCACGTATGCCAATGTTACCAAAAATGTACAAATTTCACTGAACTACTGACCATGATAATATAGAAACATGTCAGGCAGCGATTTTTACTGGCCCAGACCAGCCCAAGGAGATGCTAAGACTTCTCACCAAGAATCCAAATCCAATTCAGCACCAGAGAGGGGCTTGGGAAGACACACAATCAACAAGCATAAAATCTGAGAGCACACTATGCTAGATGTCCTGCTCAACGGGGACCCCGCTTCATCATCTGGATAGCTTTTGTTGCTCAATTTGTAGCTAGATGGTAGCATTAAACTGTAATTTTAGTAAAATTAAATCTCCCTAGCCAGGTTTTTATATAACAAGTTCAGTTCTGGCAAGGAGCCCTTTCCTGACATGAATCCAGGAAAGGATATTCTGTACTTCTGGCCAATTATTTAAACTTTGGATACAGCCACCCACAATGTGGTTATTTAAGAGGTCCTTTCCATGATACCAGGGGAAAAGCTTACAGAAACAAAACAGAACAAGGGAATTAAGGAAAGCACCAACTGCATACTCCCCCCACCCCCAGGGAATGGGAGGCAAGCATCACTGCCTAAAAGTTGGTCTTTCATGGATCTTAATGTACATGGCATTGATTATGAGACGGAATCCCAGCCTGGAGACAGAGTGACGGCCATGCATTCCATGGGCTGCACTGCGGCCTTGGATCTGCTGCTGCCATCCTGCACAATCCCTGCTGCTCTTGGCCCAGTGGGTGAGGAAGGAGCCACTCAGGAGGTCTCACACCCAGAGAGTGGGATCTGGAATGGACCTCAGGTTGGCTCTGGCACCCATGCCAAAGACCCTTTCAGGCAAAATTGTGACAAAGTATCATGATTTTCACAGCTCTTGAGGAGCGCCGAGTTTTGGGATTCACAGCATGAGTTTCTGGGCTCTTCAGGCTCCGAATAAGGCAAATGCTACATGTCTTTTCACTGTACCTCCCTCCGCTGCCATAGCTTAGAGTAAGGTCAGTAAGAAAAGTGGACATGATCTGCTTTAACAGGCGATGAGGTACATCGAATTCATGGAGACGTGAGACTGGAAAGGGGACCAAAAGCAAAAAAGAGGAGGAGGGAATGTGGGGGGAGGAGGCAAACACAGCTAGAAACTTAAAAATGGAAAAAAAAAAACCATTTCAAAGTTTCAGTGAAAAGCTGATGGGCAGAACCCTGATTGGACCTGAGATTTCTCCTCTTTCCCATATTAAAAACACTAACCCTCCAGAGGTGAGTGATAGCTAAGTTGTAATTAACTGTAACTTCCCACCACTTGGGGAGGGAAGTTCCCATAATCAGAATCTGTACCAACTCCATCCCAGAACCAGGCCTCCTGTAGCTCTAGGCAGGTAGGTGGTATGCCAGCAGCCGATAACCATGTCCCATCGTGGTTAGGGACTTCAGGCCTGGAGGACCCGACGGCATTGTGGCTGGCTAGGTCAGTGGTGAAACTGAAAGTTAAGACAGGTGTGGCTGAGCGCAGCTGGAGCCTATGTATATACATCACCTTCAGGTGTAATTTCAAGTTTGCTGTAGGGAGACCCCCTTCTCAACTTTGGAGCAGGGGAAGGGCCCTAGCCAGAGGGTAGGCCAAGAATTTCAACAAAGGGCAGGGCTGGCCTCAGAGCAACTTCTCTTCTACACTGTCAGGACAAGGAAGGGGCTCAGCTAGCTCAGCTGTTTCATCCAGTCCCCTGTTCCCAGGCACCCATGTTCCAAACTGCTGCTCCTGGCCCTTTGAGTGCCACGCCTGTAATGTGCACAGCTGAAACTATCTCTGCCATGATACCACAGCTGTGCCAACCTCCACTGTTGTCTCTGGGAAACACAGCTGCCACATCACTGCATCTACAATGGCAACAGAGCTGGCAAACAGGGCTCTTTTGACTCACTGCTAGTCTGCAACCTGTCCAGCAGGAGCTCCCTAAACATGCCTGGACAAGGGCACAATGTACTATTCATCCCACTCCCTCAAGCAAAGAAGTCAGAGAGAAACATTTAGTGTCTAAGAACCCTGTCCCAGAAAGGGAGAGGTACTGGATGAAACACAGGTCGTGTCTACACAGTCTGGGCAAAGTGGATGTAGAATGACAGAATCTGATTAGCATCATTCAGAGCCAGTGTGAAAACCTGGCCCTCTTCTAATTGTATTTGGCCATGGCCTTGGAAGCCTCCATGGATGTGTATTTGTCTCAATGCTATGTTCGAGGCAGTGGGCCGAGAAGACAGACGTGGCACACTTTTCTTTCTGGCTCATGTCAGTTTTTCTGCTCCAGTGTGGCATAGACTGTCAACCTGCAAAGGCAAGGCACATAGAGACCCCCCCACCCCCACCCCATCTCCCCATCCACTAGCAAATGGGGAAGTAAAAGAAACCTAGGAGAGCTGGCCAACATTCCAGGCTATGCCACTCACTCTAACAGACTGACTTGGAAATGTCTCTAAAACTCTGACACTTCCCAGAGGTGGCTGCTCCATGGCAGTGGCTCCCAGGAGGATGGAAGAGGTGATGCTGGTGTCCTGATGCTGACTTTAGCATCCCACTCACCAGCCAAGGAATGTTAATTCTCTAAACTCTTGTTTTGAGAGAGAGAGAAACAGAAACCCCTAGAGGAGGGGAAGGGGAGCGGGATATGGGCACACAGGACTTCAATGGAAAAGAAACAAGAACTTGAGGCTGCTGATCCACAGCATCTCTCTGCCCAGACTCCTGTAGTCACAAACTCAGAAACTTGGTTAACTCTGGCATTCAACAGTTCCAGCAGATGTGACATAGGAGCCCAGGGTACAATGAGGTAGCCCTCAATGGGCACTTCACCCAGGGCCCCAGGTTGCAGAAGGCCCAGTGCTCGGGGTCCCACTCCTTCTCCTGCTCTCTCCACTCTTGAAGCAAGCTGCCTGGAGAGCCGCAAACACTCTGGGTCAGCCTGTATCACAGCCCGTGCCGTTGTACTCAATTTTGTTACCTAACGCCATTTCAGATAAAAACCATTAAGACCACACCCAACCTTAGTATTTTCTCAATGATCAGGAGAGAAACCTGCTTTTACTTAAACCACGAAAATAAATACATGTACTTGGTGGGCAAGAATAAGAACCCAAAAAAGTGCTCCCTCTAATGAGTTACACTAGAAACTGGAGATGGGGAAGGGATTGCCTGAAACACATGAATAGGAAAATGTCTCTTCCATGCACCGATCAACTGGGTCAAATGCCTATCATGTATTCTTAAGACATGTATTGTTTTTCTCCTTAAAAAATTGTTCTAAAATCACATTTAAAGGCTCCAAACATGCAGCAATAATAGTACAAAAACAAAACAGAAAAGAAAAACAAAAAAGAAAAGAAAAAATAAAACAAATGAAAATAATCCACACCACAACATTAAAAAGTGCAACTTACTTCGAATGGGGCCTGGACGGGCTCCTCTGGCACTAGTGACCCACAGTCACAGAGGGGAGAAAACGATGGGAAAAAGCCACACATACACACACACACACACACACACACACACTCTCTCTCTCTCTCTCTCTCTCTCACATATACTCACATCAACAGGTTCTGGGCAGACAAAAGATTAGAAAACACAACAGCTCATCTTTCCTCAACTACTGAAATGAGCCAGTTAGACCACGCAGGACAGGACGCCAGGTCCCCCTCCCTAGGCCGCGTTTCTAATAATCTTGGTCTAGCACCACCATAAACAAAGTGGAACTTTCATATGGACGTGCAAATCCTGTGAGTCCTTGGAATCCTAGTGTTACTGAAGATAGGCTGCTGCTTCCTCCTATGGATGGCAGGGACTGAGAGGAGGAGGCTGGATGTCGTTCAGGTCCATTTCCAGGAGAAAGGGAGCATTCCTGAGGTTCTATACTCAGCAGTAAAAGTAGAGGACCCTCCTTCGCCAGTTTCTAAAAAGGTTGCACCTTGAAATAGGTAAAAATTCAAGGACTGTGCATTTCTGAGTGGTTTGGCGGTAGGGCAAAATTAGGCAACCTCTTCCAAGGAGGTCCAAAAAAAAACCAAACTATAATTGAGACCTCGAAACTGAATTGCCCCTCAACAACCTGATGATCGTTCCTGCTCCTCTTCCTTGGCAAAGAAGGTCTCCAGTTCCATTAGTTTCTGTATCAAAAGAGCATCCAGCTCTTGACTCTGCACAGCTGCCTTCTGGGCCCTCGTAAAGCTGCCTGCCACCTTGACTTTACCTCGAGCTCTCCTCTTTCGTGGGACTGTAAAATCCTGAAATTCTAGAACTCGCTTCCTCTTCTGTTGGCTGATTGAGATTAGCGTACCATTTCGTTCCTTGGGTTCCTCAAAGATGGTCTCTAAACACCTAAGGATAAAGCATGAAATGGAATTACCAACAGACTGACTCACATGGCCCATCCTGTCAGCAAGGGTCAGGATGTTGACATTCCTGGGTCAACAACCTTTCTAGTCAACAAGGACTGAAAGCTACTTGTGCCAACTCTTCTTTTTTTCTTTCTTGAGACAGAGTTTTGCTGTTGTTGCCCAGGCTGGAGTACAATGGCATGATCTCAGCTCATTGCAACCTCTGCCTCCCAAGTTCAAATAATTCTCCTGCCTCAGCCTCCCAAGTTGCTGGGATTACAGGTATGCACCGCCATGCCTGGCTAATTTTTTTTTTTTTTTTTTGAGACAGAGTCTGGCTCTGTAACCAGGCTGGAATGCAGTGGCACGATCTTGGCTCACTGCAACCTCCACCTCCCAGGTTTAAGCAATTCTCCTGCCTCAGCCTCCCAAGTAGCTGGGATTATAGTCATGAGCCGCCACGTCCAGCTAAGTTTTTTGTCTGAAACAGAGTCTCACTCTGTCACCCAGGCTGGAATGTGGTGGTGCGATCTTGGCTAACTGCAACTTCCGCCTCCTGGGTTTAAGCAATTCTCTGCCTTAGCCTCCCAAGTAGTTGGAATTACAGGCGCCTGCCACCATACACAGCTAATTTTTATATTTTTAGTAGAGACGGGGTTCCACTATCTTAGCAAGTCTGGTCTTGAACTCCTGATCTCATTATCTACCTGCCTCAGCCTCCCAAAGTGCTGGGATTGCAGGTGTGAGCCACTGTGGCCAGCCACACCTGGCTAATTTTTGCATTTTTAGTAGAGGTGGGGTTTCGCCATGTTGGCCAGGCTGGTCTGAAACCTCTGACCTCACGTGATCCACCCACCTTGGACTCCCAAAGTGCTAGGATTACAGGCCACCACCGTGAGCCACCGTGCCTGGCTACTTGTGCTAACTCCTTAGAGTTGATTGTTATGTCCTCTGACTAGTAGTATCTATTTTTTTGTCAGGGCTGGGGGAACCCCATATATATGCTAGATGAACATAATTCACACTGCATGAAGAGTATAGAATAAAGTAACATCAACCCCATAGGCAACACCAATAACACTTTTTTGTGTATCCTCCCAAAAGTCATTCAAGTATAGACATGCATAAATAAACATGTATTATCAGGGGTCAGCCCTTTTCTGCAAATGCCCAGATATAAAACATTTCAAACCCTGTGAGCACAGAAGTCTCTATTACAAATTATTTCTTCTTTTATTTCTTTTAAGAGACAGAGTCTCGTGATGTTACCCAGACTGGCCTTGAATTCTTAGGCTCAAGCAATCCTTCCACCTCAGCTTTCCTAGTAGCTGGGACTACCAGTATGGGTCACTGCACTTAGGGGCCTCCTTCTTTCTCTAAACAGCCCTCTAAATGTGTAAAAATCTGCCACGTGCGGTGGCACTGCCTATAATCCCAGCACTCTGGGAGGCGAAGGCGGGAGGATCTCTTGAGGCCAGGAAGTCTATACCAGCCTGGCCAACATGGTGAAACCCCATCTCTATTAAAAATACAAAAATTAGCCAGGCATGGTAGTGGCACGCCGGTAATCCCAGCTACTTAGGAGGTTGAGGGAGGAGAATTGCTTGAACCTGGGAGGCAGAGGTTGCAGTGAGCTGAGACTGTACCACTGTACTCCAGCCTAGGTGACAGAGTGAGGCTCTGTCTCAAAAGAAAAAAATTAAAATAAATAAATAAAAGTATAAAAATCATTCTTGGCTTATAGGCCATAAAATAGAAATGAACCACTGACAGGATTTGGTCTGTGGTTTGCTGACCCATGGCGTATAGCCTCCATTTTTTTTTTCCTAAAACAGAAATTACATACACTGTCCTATATACTGTGAGTTTTGACTTTAACCTTTAAAATGGTCCTACCTTAGTATGTAAGTATCTGGCTCATCTTTATTTATTTTATTTTATTTCTAGTTTTTGAGATGGAGTTTCGCTCTTGTTGCCCAGGCTGGAGTGTAGTGGCATGATCTCAGCTCACTGCAGCCTCTGTCTCCTGGGTTCAAGCGATTCTCCTCCCTCAGCCTCCCAAGTAGCTGGGACTACAGGCATGAATTACTATGCCTGGCTAATTTTTTTTGTATTTTTAGTAGAGATGAAGTCTCACCATTTTGGCTAGGCTAGTCTTGAAAACTTGACCTCAAGTGATCTGCCCTCCTCAGCCTTCCAGTGCTGGGATTACAGGCATGAGCCACTGCACCCAGCCTTGACACATCTTTAAAAAAAAAAATTTTTTTAAGATAGGGTTTCACTCTGTCACTCAGGCTGGAGTGCAGTGGCACAATCACAGCTCACTATAGCCTCTACATCCTGGGCTTAAGCAATCCTCCCACCTCAGCTTCCCAAGTAACTAGGACTATAAGCATGCACTACCATGCCTGGGTAATTTAAAAAGAATATTTTTTGTAGAGATGGGGTCTTGCTATATTGCTCAGGCTGGTCTCCAACTCCTGGGTTCTGTGATCCTCCCTCCTTGGCCTCCCAAAGTGCCAAAATCACAGACATGAGCCACTGTGCCTGGCTCCTGATTCTTTTTTTTTTGAGATGGAGTGCTGCTCTGTTGCCCAGGCTGGAGTGCAGTGGCACAATCTTGGCTTACTGCAACCTCCACCTCCTGGGTTCAAGCAATTCTCTTGCCTCGGCCTCCCAAGTAGCTGGGACAACAGGCGCATGCCACCACGCCCAGCTAATTTTTGTATTTTTAGTAGAGACAGGTTTCACAATATTGGTCAGGCTGGTCTTGAACTCCTGACCTCTGGCGCTTTACCCATCTTGACCTCCCAAAGTGCTGGGATTACAGGCATAAGCCACTGCGCCCAGCTGTGATTCATTTCTTTTAATGGTTAGACAATATATTCCATTATAAGGATGAACTGTAAATTATTGAAAACCCTAGTAATATTTTAAACTTTGGGTTGTTTCCAATACTTTCCTTTTTTTCGTTGTGACAAGGTTTCACTCTTGTCCCTCAGGCTGAAGGGCAGTTGTGTGATGTCAGCTCACTGGAACCTCTGCCTTCCAGACTCAAGGAATGAATTCTCCTGCCTCAGCCTCCCGAGTAGCTGGGACTACAGATATAGGTCACTGTGTCTGGCTAATTTTTGTGTTTTTAGTAGAAATGGGGTTTCACCATGTTGCCCAGACTGGTCTTAAACTCCTGAGCTCAAGCAATCTGCCTGCCTTGGCCTCCCAAAGTGCTAAGGTGACAGACGTGAGCCACTGTACCCAGTCTTTATTTGGTAAAAATACAAGCACAAACTAAAAACATTTTTTTTTTAGACGGAGTCTCACTCTGTAGCTTAGGCTGAAGTACTCTGGTGTGATCTTGGCTCACTGTAACCTCCGCTTCCTGGGTCTGGGTTCAAGCAATTCTTTTGCCTCAGCCCCCCAAGTAGCTGGGATTACAGACATACACCACCATGCCCAGCTAATTTTTGTATTTTTAGTGAAGACGGGGTTTTACCATGTTGGCCAGGCGGGTCTTGAACTCCTGACCTCGTGATCCACCCGCCTCAGTCTCCCAAAGTGCTGGGATTACAGGAGTGAGTCACTGCGCCTGGTCTTTTTTTTCTTAAGACAGGGTCTCAACGGGTGCGATGGCTCATGCCTGTAATCCCAGCACTTTGGGAGCCCAAGGCAGGCGGATCACAAGGTCAGGAGATCAAGACCATCCTGGCCGACATGGTGAAACCCTGTCTTGAAGAAAAAAAAAAAAAAAAAAAAAAAAGGGTCTCACTCTGTTGCCCATGCTGGAGTGCAGTGGCACAATCTTGGCTCATTGCAACCTCTACCTCCTGGGTTCAAGCGATTCTCCTGCCTCAGCCTCCCGAGTAGCTGGGATTACAGGTGTGCGCGACCATGCCTGGCTGATTTTGTATTTTTAGTAGGGACTGAGTTTCACGTTGGCCAGGCTGGTCTCGAACTCCTGACCTCTGGTGATTTGCCTGCCTTGGCCTTTTCCCAAAGTGCTTGGATTACCATGTGAGCCACTGTGCCAGGCTGAGACAATATTTTCTTATATTTTTGGGTTTTTTTTGAGACGGAGTTTCGCTCTTGTTGCCCAGGCTGGAGTGTAATGGCACGATGTTGGCTCACCACAACCTCCGTCTCCCTCATTCAAGCAATTCTCCTGCCTCAGCCTCCTGAGTAGCTGGAATTACAGGCATGTACCACCACGCACGGCTAATTTTTGTATTTTTAGTAGAGATGGGGTTTCTCTATGTTGGTTAGCCTGGTCTTGAACTCCCAAGCTCAGGTGATCCACCCAGCTTGGCCTTCCAAAGTGCTTGGATTACAGGCATGAGCCACTGCACCTGGCCTATATTTTCTTTATATAACCTAATTACACTATTTCGTATCCTATTACTGACCCTAATACAAGGGATGGAATTGAAAAATACCAATTCTAGCTATTTACAAGATCCAGTATTGGTACAACTGAACATAAACTCTAAGGTGAAAGGGCTAGAGATTCATATCAGTCATTTCAAATTCTTCCCTTTTATTTCCCAGCTATAAGTACCTACCTGTTTGCAGGAGGAGATTTATAATTCTTGTTGGTATATATTTCTTCTAAACTAAATTCTTTCTTCTTTAACCTGAAAAGAGAAAAAAATAGTAATTCTTCATGTTCTCTTTTTTTTTCTTTTGAGATGGAGTCTCGCTCTGTCGCCCAGGCTGGAGTGCAATGGTGTGGTCTCAGCTCCCTGCAACCTCTGCCTCCCAGGTTCAAGCAATTCTCCTACCTCAGCCTCTTGAGTAGCTGGGACTACAGGTGCCCACCACCACGCCAAACTATTTTTTGTATTTTTAGTAGAGATGGGGTCAGGCTGGTCTCAAACTCCTGACCTTGTGATCTGACCACCTTGACCTCCCAAAAGGATTAGACGCGTGCCACCACGCCTGGTGCACGTTCTCTTTTTTCTTAGACAAGGTCTTGCTCTGTTGCCCAGGCTGAAGGGCAGTGACATGATCACAGCTCACTGCAGTCTTGAACTCCTAGACTCTGGTCATCCTCCAGCCTCAGCCTCCCAAGGAGCTGGAATTACAGGTGTACGCCGCCATGCCAGGCTAGATTAAAAAAAATTTTTTTTTTTTTTGGTAGAGATGGGGGTCTCTCTGTTGCCCAGGCTGGTCTCAAACTCAAGCAATCCACCAAACTCAGCCTTGCAAACTGCTGGGATTACAGGTATGTGCTACTGTGCACAGCCTCCTGCTCTCCTTAGAGGGAAGAGATTGATTTCCCAATGCTATCCTTTTCATTTGTTCCAACCTGTTGTAATATGTTTTAGATGTGTCTCCTGCAAACACTGTGTACTGGATATTCTTTTCCAGGGTACAAACCTTCAACTTTATGTAACTGAGTCCATTCATACTTACTGGGAATGATAGATTTATATCTATTGTCTTTCATAGATTTATATTTGTATCAATTTTTTTTTTTTTTTTTTTTTTTTTTTTGAGACGGAGTTTCACTTTTGTTGCCCAGGCTGGAGTGCAATGGCGCGATCTCGGCTCACCGCAACCTCCGCCTCCTGGGTTCAGGCAATTCTCCTGCCTCAGCCTCCTGAGTAGCTGGGATTACAGGCACACGCCACCATGCCCAGCTAATTTTTTGTATTTTTAGTAGAGACGGGGTTTCACCGTGTTGACTAGGATGGTCTCGATCTCTTGACCTCGTGATCCACCCGCCTCGGCCTCCCAAAGTGCTGGGATTACAGGCTTGAGCCACCGCGCCCGGCTGTATCAATTTTATAGCTGTTGTTTGTGCCACCTTTGTGATGTTCTTTTCATGAACTGACTGTTCTTTCTTTTCTATTATTTTATTTTATTTTATTTTATTTGAGATGGAGTCTCGCACTGATGCCCAGGCTATAATGCAGTGGCGCAATCTCAGCTCACTGCAATCTCCGCCTCCTGGGTTCAAGTAATTCTCCTGCCTCAGCCTCCCGAGTAGCTAGGTCTACAGGCATGCACCACCACGTCCAGCAACTTTTTTTGTTATTTTTAGTAGAGACAGAGTTTCACCATGTTGGCCAGGATGGTCTCGATCTCCTGACCTCGTGATTCATCCACCTTGGCCTCCCAAAGTGCTGGGATTACAGGTGTGAGCCACTGTGCTCGGCCTGTTTCTTTTATATCTCCCTCCACTGACTAGAAAACTATATACTCTATTTTTTTTTTTTTTTTTT